TTTTTAAGATTTCATTTATTTATCAGAGAGTGAGAGAGAGAGAGAGAGCACCAGCAGGGGGAGGGGCAGGCAGAGGGAGAAGCAGGCTCCCTGATGAGCAGAGAGCCAGACAGACGCAGGGCTCAATCCCAGGACCCAGGGACCACGACCCAAGCCAAAAGCAGACACTTTAACAACTGAGCTACCCGGGCACCCCAATGAGGTTGCTTTTAAAATCAGAAAAAATAAAATAAATACTTCCTTGCGATTTTCAAGTACACAATGAGAAAATAAAATAAAATGTAAAGAATAAAACAACAACTCCTATATGCCAGTCCCTTTATATTACCCAGATAATTTAATCCTCACAACACTATATAGATTTTTATTGTTATTCCTGTTTTATAGATGAGGAAAGGAGATCCAAAGAAGTGAGGTAATTTCCTCAGAAACTTAAAGCTAATTAAGAGGTAGAGCTAAAATTTGAACCAGTCTTATCTGATTCCAAAAACACATGTTTTTAGACCATTTCAAGCTACCTCAGGTCAAACAGTGTGTGCACAGAACAAGGGCTTGGCAGATGTCAACCATGATTTGCACACTTCACCAAGGAGAGCTTCAATAATCTGATTTGCCCAAAGGAAGGCTTGGCTGACAAGGTGCTAATTCCTACCCCTGCTTGATGACTGCTGATGAGCAAAGAAGGAAACCATGAAAGAGAATCACATCAAATACTGGAGCTCAGATTTGTTAGAAACGTTGATCCAAAGTATCCCTCCCCACCCAGAAATCATTCATTCCTTCATTCATCCACCTGTTAATTTCCAGAATGTGTACTGAACATCTGTTATGTAGGAGGCCATCAACCAGTGTTGGGGGTACAGAGCTGAGCAGAAAGAGACACAGTGCCTGTGCTCACTGGACCTGACAGACCAGTGGGGAAGGCAGACATTAATCAAATAATCACACAAGTGTCAAATTATAACTGTGATAAATGCTATGTAACAAAGTTCAGTGATTCCACTGCCTGAAAGTGAAGACATAGCCTTATTCTTACCCCTCAAGCTGTGCACTGTCACCAGGACTCTCCCTGATGGAACCCTTCCACAGTCAGACCTGTCTGCTCACCTTCCCCAAATATTCCTAAGCTCGCCTGTCACAGTGCTTTTTTGTGCTCATGCTGTTTCATTAGCCTGGACCAGCTTTCTTCCTCATCACTATCTGTTAAAATCCTGCTCTCCTTGTCCAGGACAGTTTGACTCCAGAGCTCCACTTTTTAAGAAAAGACTCAGGACAGTTTGCCCCAATTTCAACTGAAAAGGCCTCTTTCAAGTTAACCTCAAAAAAAAAAAAGGGAAAGAGTACCATGACCATCACCTTATCTACACAAGGCTGTTTTCTTCATTCAGAGTGTTAAATCTGGGACTGATGGATGGGTTCCGAGTCTGTGAACTCCTACAATGGTGTGCAAACATCTGTTTGCACATGGGGCAGTTTTCTGGAAATTGAGTTTACAGGAGACACTGAGTTGCTCTCTAGTATCCATGAACCTGAGGACAAAGTCAACACAAGAGGGAGAGCCAGGCTGACAAGACCAGAGAGTCTTAACCAGACTGTGCTTTAAGCCTTCCTTGCCTCTGGACACTTTTAATTCTGGGTCAGTACTTGCTTAAGAAGAAAAGAGAAGAATGAAAGAGAAGGGAAGGGAAAAAACATGGAGAAATCCTACCCATTCATGAGATTCTTTCTCAAGAGCCACTTCTCCTTCTTGGCTTCTCCAGTTGCCTAACATGGAATCAACTCCTCCCTCCTCTGTGCTCCACTGGGCAATTCACCTACCCCTCCGTGGAGCACAGATTACATTTCTCCCCTGTACTATGGTCAAGCATCTCAAGGGCAGATT